TGTGTGTTTACTTATTACTGAAAATTCTCTCAGAAGCTTGAGTTCTTCTCTGTCTTGAATCAAGTGCTGTTCTTAATTACACAACCTGAATGGTTGTCTCCAGGTAACAAATTACCATCTTGCTCCCCCTAGTGGAATGATAACTCTACTGCAACACTTGAGAATATCAGTATGTGCTTGATTTAACATCTTATTTGTGGAAATCAGGTATTTTCTCAATTTGTTTTCAAAGACTGAGGATAAAATCGAGAAGTCTTGCATCATATGGGCTGATAGGGGATATGCATAGAGAAACTAGCATTTTGCTGATATATTTTCAGTTTCTAGTGTTAGCAATGTTAGCTACATAATTTATAATGGCTGCCAAATGCAAGGGGCCTCTCTGCTCCTCACTTTTCCGTCTTAGAGGGACCGAATGTCATCGGCCTTGCAGACAGTCACCTTTAGGAGACAGTGGTCAACACTCCAGGCAAAAATGGTAGGGTGCGGAATACTTGGTGATGTTAAAACAGGACAGGTCTCATGTGAAATTGAATCTCTCTCATGCCATTGGCAAAGTGGCCAGGAAGTATTCTCATGCCTTCTGAATCTACGTGAAGGACTGTGAGAATATCCACAAGCACATGGCAGTCATTTCCACTTTACAGCTACTAAGCATGCAAAGGAAATTCTAGTGATTGAAGCTGAAATTGCTGCATACCTCTTTTAAAATTTCCTTAGGGGATAATAAAGTTTTCATGGCGCTAGAATCTCTTTTTTTTCATGCTGCTATTTGCTTTTCATAACTTTGACCCTTGTTATGAATTTGTATTTATTAACTTCGTACTCTGTTGCACACAAAGTACTCCTGTATACACTGATGTTGAATGTGTGAAACTTTAAAATGAAAAACCCATAAACACCTAGGACTGCATTTTTCAGGTAAGACTTTGCTTCTAAGCTTTATTAAGGTCAAGACAAAAGCTCAAATGATGCAGGTTAACAATTAGTAATTAATGCAGTATAAGTAGTTTATATGTATGAGCAAGAATGTTGTGATTAAAAGTTACCTTTTCTTAATATTATATAATTGAGCCAGTATTTAGATATATCTTTTTCCAAATATTTATTCTCAGAGTGTTTATACTTTGGGAAAAATAAAACAGCAGGATCGGATTAGAATCTCAACAAAAGGGAATGCCAAAATGCTCACTGGGCATGTTTTTTGGGGGGAGTGTAGAGAAAAAAGGAAATGCTCATAATGTTTTTTCAAAAAAATACTAATTTGCTCAAGAATCACAGTAATTTCATTCAAGACTTAACATCCATGCAAACATTCGGCTCCGTTTAAGCAAAGTGTGTGTCTGGGAAGTCCTGGTTTGGAATTCCACGGTTCTTGGATTTGCAATTGTGAAAACAATGATGCCACAGTGGCCACATTGCCTAGCTGAGGCTGGAGATGTCCATCTAGCAAGACTTTGGAGAACAGGCACTTTTCTATTATGCAGGGAGTGTGAGGGGTTTATATGTGAACCAACATGTATCTCTGTATGTGCACATGAGTGTAGATACCCATGCACATGTAGACATGTGCATGTGGGTATATCTATGTATAGATGTGACTGCAGTACTGGAAAAGTTACAACAGTAGCTCATTTTCTACTTCCCAGTGGATGCTGGAAATTCTGTGCATTGATAATGCTCTCCAAAGCAGATTTACCAGAGCGAGGCCTGGAGGTATTGCGCAAGTGTGCACACCATCCGCTGTTGGGAATTCGGTGCATTGATGATGGCCTTCAAAACAGTCTCAGGGATTGTGCCAAGAGGTGTCTGGGAAGCTCTCCACACCACTCCCTGCTAAAGGACCGTGCTGGAGTCCCCACCTGGCAGCATTGTCGGGGTGGCTGTCCCTGGCAACGTTCCAGCCCTGGCTTGGAACCCTTGTCTTTCTTGAGAGGTGTGAGGACCAAGTGCAACAGGATATCTGTACACATTCCTTACACACGTGAGCGATGAGAGGCTTTTCTTACCTAGCTGTTTTTCCTTAAAGTGACTGACCAGTGGTGCCTTAATTATCGGGATGGGTTTGTTCCTCAGCATCTTAACTTCTCAACTATTAATTGATCACTATTGATTTAACACTGACATCTTCTTGGACCTTGCCTCTGCTTATGACCCTATGGTTATTGGGGCTTGTTATTTATTTATTTTTTTGGAGTTCATAAAGGCAGAAAAGTGCACACAAGCATTTGACTAGGAGCACAGCAGATAGAGAATTATGAAACATAAACGAAATTCAATATTTTTGTTGAAATCGTGAGTGTGTATCTGACTCTGCTTTATATGAAAAACAGCCATTGCCATGGGGCTGATAACCCAGAGACTTGGTTAGCAGGTCGTCAGGAAGCATGTAGCCGGATCTTCTTGTTTTGGGAGAGCAGCCAGTTGACACTGAGCTAGTATAAAACTTGCATTCTTTTCAAGACTTCTTTCCTGCAACTTAATTGTTGGCAATTGGAGAACGTATCTCTGAATCATACACCTTGGCAAAAAGGTAGAATTGAGAGAGTATTTTGGGCAAAAAAGAGATACATCTGTTCACTTGCTGGAAACTTTTATGGCAGAGGGGAAAACTGTGGACAAGTTCCTGGCATATTGAAATATTTATCTACAATTTAACATTTTTAAAATACAGTGTGTGCTCAAGGACTCTTACTGTATACAAGGTCTGTCCGGAAAAAATCCAGCCATTGTTAATATAGGTAACAAGAATGGTTTGTGTGACATTTATGTAACCTGGCAGCCAAGGAGAGTGGACTGGAATGTGCATATGTGAACAATGATGACTTCACTGTACTGGTCAGTGGGGGCAGTAGACACTGCTGAGTGATCATATGTAGTGTGTGGCCATCACATTCAAAATGACTGAGCAAGTAGAACAACAAATCTGCATCAAATTTTGCATTAAGCTTGCATACCTCTGCAGAAACTATTTGGATGATTCAAAAGGCCACAGTTATAGGTAACTGGTGATTGGCAGCTTCGTCACAACAATACACTTGCTCATGCATCACATCTTGTGCAGAGTTTTTTGGCAAAACATCAAATCACCCAGGTGATTCAGCCCCCCTCCAACCCAGGTTTGGCACCCTGCAACTTCTGGCTTTTCCCAAAACTAAAATCACTTTTGAAGGGGAAGAGATTTCAGTCTGTCAATGAGGTTCAGGAAAATATGATGGGGCAGCTGATGGTTATTAGGAGAACTGTGTGAGATCCCAGGGTGTCCACTTTGAAGGGGACTGAGGCGTCATTGTCCTATGTACAACGTTTCTTGTATCTTGTATCTTCTTCAGTAAATGCCTCTATTTTTCATGTTACATGGCTGGATGCCTTCTGGACAGACCTCGCAGATCCCACTGATAGTGCTTACACTGGTTCCCCCAATTAACAAGAAACACCATTAAAACCTGTAAGGAAGGCAATTGGATGGTAAAAAAGAGAAAGGAAAATTTATAGGAAAAATGAGGACTTGGATTCTCACATAGCTGGCGCAGGGGCAGGTTGAGGCAGGTGAGGCTCAAGCATTTACCACTTTCTAAGAATTAAGTAGGCATTTATTAAAAATATAAATTCACAGGATCACACCCCAGATATACTAAATCAGAATCTTCAGGGAAGGGATCTGGGAATATTGTTTTAACAAGCATCCCAGGGGATTCTTACAGTCAGACAAGTTTGGAAAACTGTCGTCTTATTTCCCACTAGGACTAAAGTATTAACAAAAGTTGTCAGTGAAATGAGTGAGTGTGTGTGTGTCTGATTGTGAAGGTTTTGAAAGTTTGAACAAATGGTCAAATATTCCATGTTGGCATTGTTAAACATTAATGAAAACATGTTACTTGTGTAGGGTTATATGGCTACAGAGGGTTTTCCCATAAGTGACCTCATTTGTTCCTAATAACAATCCTATGAGGGGCCGGGCAGCAAAGAGCACACTCACCCCCGGATTATGCATGGGAAATGCATTCAGCATGTAGCTGGCGGGCGGTGCAGCTGGTGTTGGACAGGATTCTTCACTACCTGCAGCCAGCGCAGCGCCAACCCCACCCCTCGTTCTCTCTCACCCCACATTCTGGTCAGCAGGCTGACAGCGGCACTTCTAATGTATCAGGTTCTCTGCATGTCCACACCTTTGCACACCCTCATTTCTCTGCCTGGGAGGCCCTTCCTCCCCTGTTTGCAAACTCATATTCATTGAGCTGCCTCTCATGACGCTTTTCTGGGTACACGCCTTTCCTCACCCTGCCTGCTACCCGAGCAGAGCTAGTTTCTCTTTCACTTCTGTTTCCATCGCACTTTATAAATCCATCTACTGTGTTGGGTCCTGTTTAATGTGGCTGATTCAGTAATAAGTGCTCGGTAATGCCCCTCCTTCCTGCTCCTCACCCATTATTGTACCACAGGCGTTGAACGGGCAGTGCGGTGTGATCGTGTGTGAAGTACTCAGTGCCTGTTGGCTAAAGCTGTGGGAAGTGTTCGGGAATGATTTCAAAGGTTTTCTAAACATTGATGAAACAGTGTTCAGGAGGCCAGAAACATGGCCATTAACATCCTTGAGGAATGAAAGTGTTGGAAGGTACCAGGGAACATTGTCTAATGAGAGGTGGGGAGCTGGCAGGGGGACTGTGTGAAAAAACCCACAGAGTTGGTAGTTTCCTTGATGAGGAATTTGAGGGCCTGTCACGGACAATTTCAACTATGGGAGGTTTTCATGTTAAACTCATAGCCTCAGGTTAGATGTGACTGTCTGTCATGGGTTTCAAATTGTATTATAGTTACTTCATGAAAATACCTTCCCCACTAGGCTTCTAGTGAGTGTGGGTCTGAGCCACATTCATCTTTGTTTGCCAACTGATAGTTGTTGAATCAACTTTTGGGGAAGAAATTTTCTAGCCAACTCCCTCTGAATACAATTAAATTGTTTAATTATAGTTGTAATTCCAATTCTCCTGTGTTTACAGCCACCACTGGTCCAAGCCATCTTCAGCGGTGATCCGGAGGAGATACGGATGCTCATCCACAAAACGGAAGATGTGAATGCTCTGGTAGGCGACGCTGTGTTTTGCCTGCTCAGGCCCTCTTAGCCTTTCTGTACCATGAGCCTCATTGGTATCCGGTGAAACCTCAGGACTGCTTCTCACAATTCTGTTTTTAAATCCATAAAACAAAATGTGTAGGGTTAGAAAGGAAATTGATGGTATTGAAATACAGTTATCAAAATACTAAAAATCAGAGTTGTGGTATAATAATGTATGTGCTACTTTAGCAATACATTTAAATAGCAAGATACAACAAAAGGTCTAATAATAGCCATAATTTAAAAATATGATCAATATTCTGTGTCGTTTGAAACAACTCTTACATGGTATGAACATACCTGTGACTTCTGCTAGTGGCAAGTCTTAGTTACTGCTGACCCTACTGAGATTTGCCACCTACATTCATAATGGAAGAAAATGTAAAATTTCCATGAGAAGTTAGTGAAAATAAAGATGTAATATTTTTACATCTAGAATTCATGCTCCACAGCAGGGGGTAACCAGCTCTGGTTGGCCACCTGTGTTTGTACAGACTACCAACTAAGAATAGTTTCTAGTTTGTAAATGGCTGAAAAAATGAAAAGAAAAATAATATTTAGTGACACATGAAAATTATATGAAACTCACATTTCAGAGTCTGTAAATAAAGTTTTGTTGGAACACAGCCATGTCAACTTTTGCGCTGCAACAAGAGTTGAGTAATTGTGACAGAGACTGTATGTAGCCCCAATAGCCAAAAAAAATTTACTTTCTGGCCCTTTCAAGGAAAAGGTTGCTGACCTCTGCAACCATGAAGTTGCAAACCTCTGCAAACATGAAGTGTCCATGAACCCGGGATCATGGGTGAACTCGACATCCCATGCATACATGAAATCCTATGTAATATATGTGTGCACTTGTGGACATTTATATTTTTCTGTGAAAGGCTCAAGACATTTCATCAAATTATTAAAAGGGCCTATGACCCCTAAAAGATTAAGAACCATTGTATTGGGAAACTCTCAAAACAAACCTGCAATGAAAAAAGAGTTAGTCAATAATTTACGCTTTTAATAGTTTCCTAGACCCGAGTTGAACAAGCAATTATATGCAGTACGTGCTACTAATTCTCTTAATGTAACTCAATTACCTAAGTGCCCCAGTCAACTGGGGAGAGGAGTTCTCTTTGAAGTCTCTGGCATTAAGTAGAGACAACATCAAGAGGCAAACACATCTGTAGTGTAAGAAGAGCTTTGCCACAGGGAAATGAATTATGTCTGAGGTTGTGTCTCTGTCGGGCCAGCTGAAGGCTCTATGTGGAAGGCAAGTTACTTGGTGCGGCCGTTGTTCTGTGGCAGGGCAGGTTGCTGTGGCTTTTCACAAAAGCTTTTGGCAGCTTCTGCCCTGAAAACAACGGGTCAGTGTTTTGTGGCATTTTTGCAAAGTAAGCACAGATGAGGCCAGGACCAGGCTGCTCGAGAAGGCTGTTGGGCATTAGTCCAAGGTCTGTGGGGTGTGACTTGTACTTCTGAGTAGGTCAAGGCCAGCAGTGTTCTGGCGTCACTGGAATTGGCCCCAGCCTATGTCGCGGCTGTGGCCCAAGTGCAGGCAAACCAAAGGCAAGGTTACTATCTTTTCCTGATGATCATGAGCGAACAGAACTTTTGTTCAGTCACACATGCTGGGAAGGATGGCACTAGGCTCTGGAGGGCCTCCATTTCTCCCTAGGAAAGCGACAGCTGCTAGCTGATAAAGGTTAGGAGAGCTTAATTTTAGTTGTAACTTAGTGGGTTAGTTAGATTAGGTTAACTATTGTGACACATGAACTCTTAAATGTATGATGGCTCAAATATTTAAGAGAAGTTTAGTCCTTTTATGAACAGGTTAGAGGGGTGGCTCTTTTCCACATAGGGTCCCAGGTAGCACAGGCGGCATCTCAGGTCACCCGAGGGTCTGTCTCCAGTCCAGCCAGGGGGGAAGAAGAGTGTGGAAGCAAAGCATGGGAGGGTTTTGATGGGTCAGCCAGGAAGTGGCGCAGCCCCTTCCACTCCCATCACGTTGACCAGATCTCAGGCATATCCGCCCCTAACTACAAGGGAGGTTGGAAAATTAGTGTAGCTGTGTTCCAAAAGAGTTGGAGCAAATGAACTTTGGTGAATGGTTAGCAATCTTGGCCATACCAGTCTTGGGTCTGATAGAATTCTAGGGAAATCAGGTGATACCACTCTTCTGTGAAGTGTGTTCTTTATTCATTGACCAGTTCTTTACTGAGTTGAGACTCTGTGCTCGGTCCTATGGACACAGAAGTAAGAAGACAGCTCTTTCCCTCCAGGAGCTTGGAATTTGGCAGAGGAGTCAATAGATGAGAAATCACACTGCAATGCATTTTTAAAAGCGGCTATGTTTGGGTCTAGGTTAATCACAAGGGGCTGATGAAGTGGTGTGCAAACTGAGGCCTAAGGGGTACTGCTGTGGAATGTGCTTTGTATTTGTGGGCCGTTGGATGTACGGCAGCAGGGAAGGGAGGGATGCTAGGAGAGACAGGAATAAATGAATGAACGAATGGTTGAAGGAATGAATGAACAGACACAGGAAGGCCGAGTTTCTTGGGTGGATCGTATGGCTCTCCAGGGTCCACAGTCCTTTTCCTCCACTCACCCCTCTTTTTTTAATTTTTATTTTTTTGATATTTTTTTTAAAAAACAATTTCAATTGCAGTTTATATTCAGTATTATTCTGTATTAATTTCAGGTATGCTGCACAGTGGTTAGACAATCAGGTACTTCATAGGGTGATCCCCCCAATGTTTCAAGTACCCACCTGGCCCCACACATAGTTACTGACTGTTCGTATGCGGTCCTTTACATCTCCACTCACCCCTCTGCAGGCTCCCTGGTCACATCCCCCTATCCCTTCCCTCAGGTGAGTATAAAGAAGATGATTTGATCCCCCACTCTGTTATTCAGTATGTTGTACACATTGAGCTGTTGTCTGAACATCATGCTTTTCTTTTGCTGATACTCTTTTGGGATCAGTCATTTGGACTCTCTTGCAGGGTGTGGATTAGGAAGTTTAGGGGAAGTGGTAGTTAACAAGGGAACAGAGAGATGAAAGACAAATAAGGATTAGAAACCTCAGCCTGTAGATTCATTTCAGGAAGGAAAGAGGCTGCTAGCCTGTACATTTAAATGTCAAGAAAGGAAAATAAATAGTGGAGGAACCTCCTGTTAATGAGACACAAAACTTTATTTCCCACTAGTAGTATTCATGAACCCTATGCCTCAACCAAATCAAATTACTCAACCTGTTGGTATTTATTCTTTTCTCACTTCTCCTCTCTTCCAATCCCACCCACTTTTGCCTCCTCTGTTAAATTGTACTAATTTCACTTCCTTTCTTTGCCGTCTCTTCAACTCAACCAAAGAAACCTACCTCTTCCCTCAACTCCCATAGCTCTTTGTAGCTGCCTGATCACTTTACTCGAGCTATTTCTATGTTTTACTTTTGAGATACTGTGTACTTGTTGACATGGCCACTGTGTCATTCATTCTCATTTTCTTGCCCGGTCCAGTCCTTGCAACACGTGTTGAGTGAATGACAAAACCTTCCTTTGGTACTTATGTTGAGCCAATCCGTGATGGCCTATTTTTCATTTCTGCCTATGGGGACAAGTTGTCTCAGAGTGTGTGGCTTAGTGTCCCTCAGGTCTCAGTTGTAAGGTTGGAAGTTCTCTTGGTAAGACTGAAAGCCTACCAATGGATTTGAGAAGCTACTAAAGGGTCAGGAAGGGTCCTCTGAGTCTTTTTTTGTGGTTTCTCTGACTAGTAGCATAACAGGACCAAGAAATGTGGGAAGACAGTGGTACGCTCTGAAAAATCCATTTATTTATTTAAAAAATTTAATAGTTCATTTTTAAAAAAGATTTTATTATTTACTTTGAGAGAAGAGGGATGGGGAGGGAGAAGGAGAGGGAGTAAAACATTAGTGTGAGAGAGAAACATGGTTTGGTTGCCTCTCATGTCCGCCCTGACTGGGGGACAGACCGAACCCACAACCCAGGCATGTGCCCCGACAGGGAATTGAACAGGCCATCTTTGGCTTTGCGGGACACATCCAACTGAGCCATACTGGTCAGGGCAATTGTTCATTTTTCATTGTATTTTTTTCCATTTACCATTTATTCCTCCATACCCTCTTCCCCCTCCACTCACCCCACTCCTCATCCTTGCAAGTCACTACACTGTTGTCCGTGTCCATGAGTTCTTTTTCTTTTAAATTGACCCAGATGTGGCTGATAACTAGAAAGATTTTAGAAGCTTTCAATAGACTAACCGAATTGAGCTCAAGATTAAATATCTGAATTAAAACTGAATGCAGAGATTCCAAAAACCAAAAATTGAACTCAGTAAAGGCATTTCTGGGATAATGCTTTGGCAACATGACATCAATAGACAGTTTTACTCTGCTATAGTGGGACAGGGTCTGAGACAGATTGGTGCCTGTCAATGGCGACTGGCGAGGACAGGGGACAGACCATGCCATGTGAAGAGTTGGAGAAGACCTGGTGATGTTTTAGACTTGGGTAGGACAGGAGAATGTTCCCAAATAGTTCAAACACTGTCGAGTTAAAATGGAACTGAACTTAATCATTATGTCATGTGGTTTTAAGCCACAGGAAGTAAGATTTCAGCTCAAAATATAAAAAAATTACTTAATAGACAGAGCTGTCTACAGGCGTAATGAGTTAACTTGACAAGTAATAAGCTCCCTGAAAGAACACTAGACTAGAAGTTCTCAAGGTGACTAATAATAGTACATGTGGCCCCGCTCTGCTAACTTGTGTCCTTGGCTGACATTGCGAATGGATCAGGACTATTTTTTTTTCTTTGACTCGTAAAGACCAAAATTTCTTTTCAGCGCAGCACTATTAACTTGGAGTTGGCCTGTAAATTGAAATACTTTTTCCATGCCTGGATTAGGTGATATTTAAAGTGTGTTACAACTATGAAAGACTACAATTCCAAGAA